AACAAAATCCAGAAAAACGCATGTCAAAAATGTTATAAATTGATTTGCATTTTAATGAGGGAAATAAGTATTTGACCCCCTCTCAATCAGAAAGACTTCTGGCTCCCAGGTGTCTTTTATACAGGTAACGAGCTGAGATTAGGAGCACACTCTTAAAGGGAGTGCTCCTAATCTCAGTTTGTTACCTGTATAAAAGACACCTGTCCACAGAAGCAATCAATCAATCAGATTCCAAACTCTCCACCATGGCCAAGACCAAAGAGCTCTCAGAGGATGTCAGGGACAAGATTGTAGACCTACACAAGGCTGGAATGGGCTACAAGACCATCGCCAAGCAGCTTGGTGAGAAGGTGACAACAGTTGGTGCGATTATTCGCAAATGGAAGAAACACAAAAGAACTGTCAATCTCCCTCGGCCTGGGGCTCCATGCAAGATCTCACCTCGTGGAGTTGCAATGATCATGAGAACGGTGAGGAATCAGCCCAGAACTACACAGGAGGATCATGTTAATGATCTCAAGGCAGCTGGGACCATAGTCACCAAGAAAACAATTGGTAACACACTACGCCGTGAAGGACTGAAATCCTGCAGCGCCCGCAAGGTCCCCCTGCTCAAGAAAGCACATATACAGGCCCGTCTGAAGTTTGCCAATGAACATCTGAATGATTCAGAGGAGAACTGGCTGAAAGTGTTGTGGTCAGATGAGACCAAAATGGAGCTCTTTGGCATCAACTCAACTCGCCGTGTTTGGAGGAGGAGGAATGCTGCCTATGACCCCAAGAACACCATCCCCACCATCAAACATGGAGGTGGAAACATTATGCTTTGGGGGTGTTTTTCTGCTAAGGGGACAGGACAACTTCACCGCCTCAAAGGGACGATGGACAGGGCCATGTACCGTCAAATCTTGGGTGAGAACCTCCTTCCGTCAGCCAGGGCATTGAAAATGGGTCGTGGATGGGTATTCCAGCATGACAATGACCCAAAACACAAGGCCAAGGCAACAAAGGAGTGGCTCAAGAAGAAGCACATTAAGGTCCTGGAGTGGCCTAGCCAGTCTCCAGACCTTAATCCCATAGAAAATCTGTGGAGGGAGCTGAAGGTTCGAGTTTCCAAACGTCAGCCTCGAAACCTTAATGACTTGGAGAAGATCTGCAAAGAGGAGTGGGACAAAATCCTTCCTGAGATGTGTGCAAACCTGGTGGCCAACTACAAGAAACGTCTGACCTCTATGATTGCCAACAAGGGTTTTGCCAACAAGTACTAAGTCATGTTTTGCAGAGGGGTCAAATACTTATTTCCCTCATTAAAATGCAAATCAATTTATAACATTTTTGACATGCGTTTTTCTGGATTTTGTTGTTGTTATTCTGTCTCTCACTGTTCAAATAAACCTATCATTAAAATTATAGACTGATCATGTCTTTGTCAGTGGGCAAACGTACAAAATCAGCAGGGGATCAAATACTTTTTTCCCTCACTGTACATGTGTCTATGCAGTGGCCCAGCTCACCCACCATGACACAGAAACCAGTGTAATACAGTCCATTTGAGCCAGAAGCAGTGCCATTCGTTGAGGTGTAATTATGGCCGCGGGGTTGGGGGTGCTGTCGACGAGGGGGGTCATTAGTAATAAAGGCCTAGTTCAATCATTTTGTGGAAATTGTATTTCATTTTTGTATAGAAAATAAATAATAATCATTAATATTTTTTGGGGGTGATTTATCAGGGGCCGTTGCAGCACCTTCAACAACCCTACAGTGCTGTTAGTGCTGTTATTTCTGGAGACATTGTTGAGAAAAACAACTGAAAGATTAACAGCAGCATCAAACAAAAACTTAATGCCTATGGTAAAATATGGTGGTGGATCTTTGATGTTATGGGGCTATTTTGCTTGCACTGGTCCTGGGGCCCTTGTTAAGGACAACGGCATCATGAACTTTACAAAGTACCAGGACAGTTTAGCCAAAAACCTGGTTGCCTCTGTCAGGAGGCTGACACTTGGCCCCAAGTTTATCTTCCAGCAAGACAATAACACCAAGCACTAATCAAAATCCACAAAGAAATTGTTAATTGACCACAAAATCAACATTTTGCGATGGCCATCTCAGTCTCCTGACTTGAACCCCAATGTGGTTTGAATTGAAGAGGGCAGTCCATAATAGCAGACGAAGGATATCAAGGATCTGGAAAGATTCTGTATGGAGGAATGGTCTAAGAGCCCTCCCAATCTCATAAAACATTTTAGAAAAAGGCTCAGTGTCCTTATCCTTGCAAGGGGAGGGTGCTAGAGTTTTGAAAACATGGGTGCCAAAAATTACTTCTTAAACAAAATCTCTTTCTCTGAACAATTGTATTAGTATTAAATAATATAATTTCCCAATTTTAGACCATACAATATAGCTCAGTATTTGCATTATTTATTTTATACAGTCTTTTTTGCTCATCTTTATCAAGGGTGCCAATAATTATGGACAGGCTATAATAATAGTCAAGGCTATAGAGGAGAATTGGTAGCTGAAGAAATCAATGAAGATCCACAGAGCACAAAGGAAGTAGAGAATTCCCTGCAGGATCCCAGTGATGACCCTCATCTGACTGTGCAGTGGATTGGTGGAGGCATGGGCTAGTGGGAATTTTTACACCATATTTCTTATACCAGTCATCCTTTCAAATCAGTGAAGGGAAGTGAACAAGTGCACACGTTGGGAGGAAGTAGCAGATAATTGGGACATAGTCCACATGAAGTCTGTATTCATAAACCGACTCAGAGTAGGATTGCTTATCTAGGATCAGGTCCCAGCTAACCATATAATCGTATTCATTATAATCTAACTCTCAGATGCTTTATAAATATGGGCCCTGAGCTTGAGTGTGATCATGCAAACACAACTTCCCCCAATGATCGCATTTAAAGAGACAAGACAGGCAGTTGTACAGAATGTTATTTTATTTTTTAAATATGCATGTCTGACTAAAACGCCAGAGGTAAAAGACCATTCATATTAGAAGGAAGACAACAAAGATATAAAAGGGTACTCTATCTAAAAATAGCAGGCTTAATTACAAATATAGTACGTCTCTATGCAAACCATCAATGAGATCTGATACTTAGCATGGTTATTGAACTGAATTCATCCTAGATTCACACACACACACAGTCTTGCACAACTAACCATGTGGGGACACACAATTCAGTCCCATTCAAAATCCTATTTTCCCTAACCCCTAACCCTAACCCTAAACCTATCCCGTACCCTAACCCTAACCTTAACCCTAACCCTAGCTGCTAACCCTAACCCTAAACCTAATTCTAACCCTAACACTAAACCCCCTAGAAATAGCATTTGACCTAGTGGGGACCAACAAAATATCCCCAGTTGGTCAAATTTTTGTTTGTTTACTATTATTGTGTCCCAACAAGTATAGGTAAACACATCCACACACGCACACGCAGCCTTTTGTGTTCCAAACTTCAGATGTTTGTCCCTACAGAATAGGGTGGGGTATGAGTCCCTCTGACAATGCAACATGTTGAAAATGTCTTCAAACATTTTTTACCGTTGAAATACATTCAATAAATTACAAAAACTGTTGTACTGTTCCGATCAACAGACCGCAACTTGACCATCATTCAATATGTCATATGAAACCACTTTCGTGCATCTATTCCTCATCTGACAAATACAGCACATTGATTTCTTGACATGTATTCTTTTCCATCTGACATGCCGTTAAATATCTTTACACAATGTAACAATACTTGACACACACAAAACAAGTTTTTGCAGCTTTCTCTTTTCAACCTGTATTTTCAATACACACACACACACACTTCGCAGAACAGACAGACATGCATCCACACATTATGAATACATGGTATACATGGTAACTTTTATAATTTATGGATTGCTTTTATTATTGCTTTTGACATACGATCAAATCATATGATCAAATGTGCACTGATCAAATCAGTGTGATGTATTTTTGGTGCACTTAATCATTGATGTGGTTGGCTGGAGGCCAGGCAGAGGTAGCCTGCGTGCCAGTGTGTTTGTGCTACCATGCCAACTCCTTATCACTCATTGCCATGTTTGTCTTGACAAGGACAGCAATGGAGTACGCAAGAGCACAAACAGATCTGGGACCAGGCTAAAGCCTTATTTACACCTTGCACTTCTGAGCTATCCGCTAGGTCCACTCGAATGAAATGATGCAAAATTGACTCTTGTCCGTACGGACAAATCTCCACGTCCGCAGGCCACTTTTCCAAGGAGGTACGCGGATGCGGACCTTGTATGGACGTTGAAGTGAAGTGGAAGGTGTGTAAATTAGGCTTATGGCAGCGGCAGACGTGGAGTTGGCTGGCTAGACAGGGCCAGTGGTGGAGTTGGCTGGTTAGACAGGGCCAGTGGTGGAGTTGGCTGGCTAGACAGGGCCAGTGGTGGAGTTGGCTGGCTAGACAGGGCCAGTGGTGGAGTTGGCTGGCTAGACAGGACCAGAGGCGGGGTTGGCTGGCTAGGCAGGGCCAGAGGCGGGGTTGGCTGGCTAGGCAGGGCCAGAGGCGGGGTTGGCTGGCTAGACAGGGCCAGAGGCGGAGTTGGCTGGGTAGACAGGGCCAGAGGCGGGGTTGGCTGGCTAGGCAGGGCCAGAGGCGGAGTTGGCTGGGTAGACAGGGCCAGAGGCGGGGTTGGCTGGCTAGGCAGGGCCAGAGGCGGGGTTGGCTGGCTAGACAGGGCCAGAGGCGGAGTTGGCTGGGTAGACAGGGCCAGAGGCGGGGTTGGCTGGCTAGGCAGGGCCAGAGGCGGGGTTGGCTGGCTAGGCAGGGCCAGAGGCGGAGTTGGCTGGCTAGACAGGGCCAGAGGCGGGGTAGCTGGGCGTCAGAAGTAGTCCCGACGTCGTGAGTCGTCGTTGATGAATGAAGGGTTCCATTGGGCGGGGTAGATACAGGAGTGACGGGAGCCTGGCAGGCCAGAGAATGGGTAGAGGCCGTTACGCTCTAGGTCAGAGTTACGCAACGCAGGCTGCAACACAGGGAAATGTGATGGGGTGGTCAGTATCAACGGAGGAGGAGGGGGGGAGTGAGGGAAGAGAGAGAGAGAATTGTATGCTAATCCTTACCTGATGTGGTGGACCAAAAATAACAAACGTAGTGGCCCTTCTGTCTAATTGGTTTGTCTATTGTCTTCTGGAGAAATGTCATATGTTTATGTCTTTTGTTAACATTGTGTTGTGTTTCTTTATGTACCGCTAGATGTCTGTGCTTATAGAGAATGGCTGTTTATACATTCAGTACATAGAAGTATACTGTATGTACAGAGTAGTAGTTTGTATATGTACAGGTTGGTAGTTTCTATATGTACAGAGTAGTAGTTTCTATATGTACAGAGTAGTAGTTTCTATATGTACAGAGTAGTAGTTTCTATATGTACAGAGTAGTAGTTTCTATATGTACAGAGTAGTAGTTTCTATACGTACAGAGTAGTAGTTTCTATACATACAGAGTAGTAGATGTCTGTCATCTGTAGCAGGTTCTTGGTGCTACCGTTTTCCTGCATCTCGATGGTCTCTCTCCCCCACTCCATAGAAACACGGTTACTCTTTGGGAACTCTGCGTACGGCGACATCTGAAAATCGCCACTTTTGAAAATGATCTTGTTGATGTCATTCTTGTCTTTCCTGTAAAGAGATACACAAAGTATTATACGTTCACTCAATGTGGCAGCTCGCTGACTGACAGTGAAAGAATTTGGTTTTATTTTATTACATGGTTATAAACACTTATAACAGTTATTACAAATTGTGTGAACAATAACGTTTTTCAAATATGGCACAACATGGACAGAGAATAAGGAATTAGGGGTTGTCATCTTACTACTGTGTTATTACATGGTTATAACTACAGCAATAGTGTCATGGAGTCTTACTTGCAGCAGGTGACAATGAGTGCGATGATGAGAACAAGGAGTAGGGTACCCCCTACTGGTGATACCACCACAGCTATCAGCTTGTAGACTAGTAGAAAAACAAAACTTTATGATTCAACTGGAGGTCTACATTGTGATTGTGAGTGCTAAAAGAATAACCATGACAACAGCTAATGAGTTAAGTGATTCAAATGTTGTCTTGATTCTCCACTGTATCTATTTCTCACACTTTTTAAATGATCATTTAAGTCATTCAAGTCTATTACTTACAATTTCCACAGTTGAATCCTCCAAATCCAAATGTGCACCTGAAAGATATAAACAAGCAAATATAAGACCAATAAATCATTTATAACATGTATTAATGGAATGGTCCAATGGATTAGATGATTAGAGTTGTCATTGCTTACCTGACACAGGTTCCATTTACCCGTTTCAGACCATCACCGCATTCTGTAAGATGAGGAATGTAATTTTACAATCATTTCAAAGCAATAACATTTTTGTTTTATAATACATTTTATTTTGAAAAAGCTGCCTGCTCAAATGACATAAAAATAAATAAAGTGAATTTGACATAAGATACGTTTGACCGAGGCTGAGTCATATTCACTAGGCACCAAACGGAAGAAAATGCACTGAAACCGAGAGGGACTACCTGTTATTTGTTTTGCATTGCAAAGCGTTTTGCTATGGTATGCTCTAACACAGGGGTGTCAAACGTCCGGCCCGCGGGCCAGATCAGGCCCGCAAACGGGTTTAATCCGGCCCGCGAGATGATTTTGTAAAGTATAAAAATGAGCTGCAATTTTTCAATAAAAGAAACTGCTGTTCCAATTGTGTCCACTGGATAGCGCAATAGCAATTGTGTTAAGCAAGCAAACTGTTTATACCGGGGCAGAGCAAATAGGTCAAGCAAGTGCAGCCAGTCCGGATGAGCTACTTTGTTTTGCCCGCGATATTTATTACGGCTTCTACTTTTAACATTATGTGCTTTGGCACCCTCATTGCCCCAATATGTCTCTGTCAAAAAAGAGAAAAGTGGACGCAGAGTGTTCCAAGAAAAATTGTCATCCTTCTATTTATTCACGGAATTGAATGGGAAAGCTGTATGTTTGGTGTGTTCACAGCATGTTGCAGTGCTGAAAGAATATAACCTTCGTCGCCACTATGTGAGTCTTAATGCCGACAAATATGACAACTTTCAAGGACAGCGGAGAAGAGAGAAGGTGAATGAACTGTTGGTGGGTCTGAAGAAACAGCAGTCTGTGTTTACTCACAGCCGAGACATCAGTGACGCTGCAGTGAAAGCTAGCTACCTCATTGCTAATGAAATCGCAGTGGCTTCAAAACCATTTAGTGAGGGTGAATTTGTAAAAACATGCATGATGAAGGCAGCAGAGATTGTGTGCCCTGAAAAGCACCAGGCTTTTGCAAATATCAGCCTGACAAGAAACACAGTTGCAGACAGGATTTCCGATCTTTCAGTGGATTTGGACAGCCAGTTGAAGCAAAAAGTAAAGTCATTTATTGCGTTTTCGGTTGCAATTGATGAAAGCACGGACATTACAGATGTTGCACAACTGGCCATTTTCATCCGCGGAGTTGATGACACATTGACCGTCACCGAGGAGTTCGTGGAGTTGGTGCCGATGACAGATACAACGACAGCAGCTGATATTTTCACTGCACTCGTCGGCGCGCTGGACAGGGTCGGAGTGGACTGGTCCCGCGCTGTCAGCCTGGCTACAGATGGTGCGCCCTCAATTATCGGGAAAAAAGCAGGCGTTGTGACAAAGTTCAGAGAGAAAGTGCAATCTGCAAATTGAGGACGTGATTTTTGGACTTTTCACTGTATTTTGCACCAGGAGGCTTTGTGTTGCAAGTCATTAAAGATGGATAACGTCATGAAGGTGGTCATCCAAACTGTTAATTTCATCCGATCCAGAAGCCTGAATCACCGTCAGTTTGACAGCCTTCTCAGAGAGAAAGACCACATCTATGGCCTGCCATACCACACTGAGGTAAGATGGTTAAGCCGAGGTGCTGTGCTGAGGCGTTTCTTTGATTTACGAGAAGAAATTGAACAGTTCATGGAAGAAAAGGGCAAACCAGTGTTAGAATTTAATTCCGCAGAATGGATGCAAGACCTTGCATTTATGGTGGATGTTACAGAGCACCTGAATAACTTGAACAAACAGCTGCAAGGGCGCAACAAAGTTGCCACGCAGTATTATGACAGCATACGTTCTTTCAAGTTGAAGCTGTCATTGTGGGAGACGCAACTCGCCGGTGGTGATGCAGCTCACTTCCCCTGTCTGAAAAATGTGTGCGCGACCCAACATGTGGCAGACATGAAGCGGTTCAAAGATAAAATAACGGGACTGTTAAGGGAGTTTGAGCAACGCTTTCAGATTTTTGGTGAACTGGAGAAAGACTTCAAAGTTTTTTGTTCGCCATTCACCGTGAATCCCTCTCATCTGCCCGTCAGCATCCAACTTGACATAATAGACTTGCAGTGTGACTCGGATTTGAAGGGCAAATTTGCCGCAGCTGGCTTGGACACATTTTATCAGAATCTCTTGCCAGGTTACCCCAACTTGACAGCCCTCGCTGCAAAACTGTTGTGTATGTTTGGAACCACATATCTTTGTGAGCAAGTTCTCTGTAATGAGCATAAATAAAACAAAGCTGCGCTCAAGGCTCACGCACAAGCACTTGAATCACATCCTGAAGTTGGCTGCCACTCAGGATGTGACGCCTGATATTGATGCGCTGGTGAAAGCTAAAAGATGCCAGGTATCAGGAGTCAAATAAACTATGCAACCCCACTTAAAGTGCTGCATGAGACACCCTGATATAGTTCTGTGATCTGTGATATACTTCTGTGAATCACTGAGGCATTGTGTGTTTGTGTGTTGTTTGTCCTCAGAATTTAAAATAACTTGAGGTGTTTTATGATTAATAGTGATGTTGTGCTTTTGGACACACTGTCCTCAGGCTCCAGCTTTATGTTTGTATGTTTTTATGTTGATGTGCTATTGTTTTTAATTGATTTTATTTTATTTGTATATTTAACCTATTCTTGACTCTGTGGTTCTTGCACTTGTTTGGGGACAGGATTTCATTATTTGTATCTACATTTCTGCCTGAGAAATGACACCCTGATATAGTTCTGTGATCTGTGAAACAGTTATGTGAATCACTGAGGCATTGTGTGTTTGTGTGTTCTTTTTCTTTAGAATTTTCAAATAAACTTCAGGTGTTTTATGATTAATAGTGATGTTGTGCTTGTACTATTTTGGACACACTGTCCTCAGGCTCCAGCTTTATGTTTTATGTTGATAGTATTAAAACAAAGAAAACAATCTGAAGTTGTTGTTTTTAAGTTATATATACCATGATTTTACCGGTCCGGCCCACTTGGGAATAGATTTTCCTCCATGTGGCCCCTGAGCTAAAATGAGTTTGACACCCCTGCTCTAACATCTGCTTGCTCCACCCTTCCAGGCCTCACCTATGCAAGACGGAGGACTACCCTCCACCTTATCACTGTTCCAGGCCTCACCTAGGCAGGACTGGTCCTCAGGGTTGAGTTTGAAGTACCCTGGTTGACACTGGCAGTAGGCTGTCCCATTGGAGTCGGTACAGAAGGAACGCTCTAGGTGACACTGGGTGTTCTGGGCCAGACACAGACTCTCAACTGAGGGGCATAGTTAGGAGAGGGGTAGGTTAGGATGGTTGTAGCAGGGTCAGGTATGAAATGTAAAACATGCTAATGTCATACATTGACTTCCATCATTTTTTGGGCTACAAAATGCTAAAGTTAGCAGATGGTGGCAATGACGGTGCACACAAACCCAAAGCATGGATTGCGTTCTGCCTTTGTCCCCACAGGCTGCTTACAAGGTAACAAAACAAATATGTAATTTTGAAATGAGGATGAACTACTCCTTTAAGACTGGGGTTAGGGGGAAAGAGGTGAGGATGGGTCATGAAGCTGAGGGTGAAAGAGAGGGGAAGACGGAGGATGGAGGAAGTTGAGCGAGAAAGACGGAGGTAGAGAGTGCTGTTACCGTGAGCTGGTGAGTGACCACCACTCTGCCGTGACCAGCGGTGCTGTTATAGTCATTCAGGGTTTGAGTTAGGGTTAGAGTAAAGAGGAGAGGATTGGTCATGAAGACGAGGGAGGAGGACTGAGGATGATGTATGGAGGAGGATGAGAGGGGCGGCAGGTAGCCTAGTGGTTAAGCGTGCTGGGCAATTAACCGAAAGGTCGCTGGTTCAAATCCCTGAGTTGACTAGATGAAAAATCTGTCGATGTGCCCTTGAGCAAGGCACTTAAACCTAATTGCTACTGTAAGTCGCTCGGGATAAGAGCGTCTGCTAAATGAAAAAAAGAAAAAAAAAATGAGAGTGCAAGACGGAGGGAGGTAGAGAGTGCTGTACCTTGATAAGAGAGCTGGTGAGTGACCACCACTCTGCAGTGTCCAGCAGTGCTGTTACAGTTGTTCAGAGATCTCTGTATGCTGTGGTAGACCTCAGAGCTGGTCACGTCAGTAGAGAGGGAGAACATGTTGACAGCAGCGATACGGGCCCCGTCCTCCCCTCTGGAACACACATCACAGCAAACAGGATTTAAAATCCGAAAAGCGTCAGAGTTATAAAGTTGTTGTTATATTGAACATCCATTACAATAAAGACATTTTAAATATATTCCTTGGTCCTGCTTGATTTTTGATTACACTTTACATACAATGTTGTCATGCATGTTGTCATGCATTCAGAAATTGGTAAGTGCAAAGCCAATCATACGGGGGAATAAGAAACTCACTTTTTACTCAAAGTAGAGCGCTGGTAACCACGCAGATTTGATAGTGAGGCGTTGAGCTGTAAAAAAAATAAAATAAAAAAAATAGAGGGGAGAAAAGGGTGTGGGCTAAATATTATTATATTCCTAATACATCTATTATATTGATTGAAGAGGTTTGCTGCCTCACTACAACAAATACACAATATACAATGTCAGTGATAGAGTCATACCTCTCTCCACACTAGGGTTGCAAAACTCCCGGAAATCTAGCAAACATACCAACATTCTTGAAAGATTCCAAAATTACTGGTTACAGGGAATATTCCCTCCTTTTGCAACTCTACTTCCCACCGTGTCCCTGTCCTTACCAGCTGGTTGATCTCTCTCTGGATCTCATGCAGTGTGGTGCTCCTGGAGAGCAGTGGGTCATAGTAAGAGTTGTTGACACTGAACGTCCCTAAGAAAGTCTTTGCTGCAGAGATAAACAGACACTGTGGTTAACTAAGGTTCAAGACACTGTCTCTAAAGTTTACAGTCGTTTCTTTCAACTAATTAAATATAGCTAACCCTTTATTGTGAATAAATACATCAATACGATCAGTAGTGTCTTATCATTACCTAATAACATAACCCAGGGTCCCCCAATTGGCGGCCCATGCGTCGAATTTGGCCCGCGGGCGGTTTTATTTGCCCCCCCCCACAAGTTTTCTGAGCACATTTTTAAAAATAAATATTTTGCATTATTTATAATTTTCATTGTTGGACATAAAATACTGTAAAAACACCAGGAAATCAACTCCAAGTGATTTTAATTTTGGAAATCTGTTCCCAAGTATTTCAACGCATAATAGAGAGACACGTGATCGTATACAAATGTAAGCAAGGTTTGACATGATTATGTTTTAGTGAAATATTATATCTGTTTGGGCTTCTTGCGGTCAATTTGCAGTCAACAAATTATTTGTAATTATGTTCCGCCCCCAACCATCTGCTTACGAAAAAAATAGGCCCGTGGCTGAATCTAGTTGATGATCCCTGACATAACCTAAACCATAACCTGATCTAATATAACCAATATAAGGCCCTACATATTGTTTATATTGTCATATGATATGAGACTTCTAAATAAAGTATGTATGTTTAGTTGTATGATTAGCAGTGCAACTGTCTTACTTTAAAATCACCCCAAAAATAAATACCTAAATATTGTTTATATTTTTATCGTCATATGAGACTGTAAATAAAGGCTGTATGTACTGTTTGTTTAGCCGTACCTCGCGTGCAGTCTCGTCCGTTCTCAATGTCAAGGCCCAGGGGACACTCACAGCTGAAGGAGCCCCTGGTGTTAACACACGTAGAGTCACTGGGACAGGGGCCCGAGGGGCCGGGGCCACTCTCACACTCATCCACATCTGGACACAGCAGAGACAGAGGACAGAGAGGGCAGTGTGAACATAAAGGACAAGATGCCTATAGTGAATACCATCAGCAATATACACATATTTTCACATCTGGACAAACAAAGCAACAAAGATACAGAGACAGAGGACAGCTGACAGAGGACATGGACAGAGGAAAACTGACAGAGGACAACTGACAGAGGACAACTGACAGAGGACAGCTGACAGAGGCCAGATGACAGAGATCAGGTCAACACAACTGTTTGATTTGAACTGTACAAAACTTTAATCATTAAACCCTCACTAAAACCTCTCTCTGGTCTTGGGACAAGAGACAAACTTCAGGGCTCTCTAGCTGCTGCAATAGGCATCCATCCCCCTATGGGTTGTAAACAGGCTGTTCACACCTCTGTTACTAGGCCAGGTTGCTAGGGTCGCCTTATCTAACTCGCCTGAACAAGTCAGCTGACTGGGGCCAGCCAATCACAGGCCCTATCTGCTTTTGTCTCTGAACTCAGTCTCCAGAAAGCAGTGGCAGAGTGAGGACCTCTCTCATAAACCTCTGCCCTGCACATCGCACAGCAGGACCTCTGGACCCTCCCTTCTCTCCACTGGACTTTCCCTGTGTTTGGGTGTATTGAAACCTTCATGTGTAATATATAATAATATATAATATATAATATTTTGCTTATGTTCAGGTCAGGCAGTACAGCATAGGCTCATTACCTTTATGGGCCTGTTGTTATTGTTTCACGCAACTTAAGATGGCAGCCCCCATGGCCTTATCCAACATGGCTTCTGTTTACATATTAGCCTTGTTTGCCACATAGCATGCTAACCCACTACCGCTAATGGTGTTGTTTATATTGTACCTATTGGCCCGTACCTACTAGCCTAGCTTAGCATATTGTGTAGCCTAGCCTGTCTGCTATGTTAGCCATACTAGTAAATGCTGCTAGCCTTGCTAACGCTAGTTGCCTTGTATTTACTGTGCACTGTGTTAAGCCTATTGGTATGCTATGCTAATACCTGCTACCTGCTATGCCATGTTCAATGGTGCTATACTGTTATATACCTGTGCTATTACCTCTAGCCTATGCTACATGCTACCTCGCTTCTAGCCATCATCGTTATTACTGTTGTGTAATACATTACCCTTTCTGTTCCATTACAGAAATCCACTATCACTGTCTTGTTTTGTATGCTTTGTACAAAATAATAAAATGCAGCAAGACAGGATCTTTATAAACGTAGCTCTTTATTAGCTAGCTATAACTGGCATGTTCATGTGTCTCCGGCCATGATCATCTTGAAGATGACCTCACCACCTGGGTGGTCTTAACCAATCATAGCACAGTATGATAAGACAGTATAATGCATCCAAATACAATTCAGTATGCTGACAAATATGAATATTACATCCCCCTGTTCTACATATTTTAAGTGTTTCTTTTGCATACATGCTCTGTAGTTTGAACTCGAGGTAAGTAACCATTTATACTGCACCAACTGCATCAACATAACAGACTGAAACAATGATTCAGCATACTGTTACTTTTAGAACAAATATTTCTCAGCAACTCAGCTTTTCACTGTAGCAATGACATCTCAACTCAAATACAATACCAAAGCATTTCAAGTTAACTTTTCAATAACAAGTTTACAGTCCGGAACTCTTTTAGTGCAGCGATCCGCCTACACCCTTTTACATTTCACAGGTCTAGGACAGCTCTAGGCTTGACCTCTCTTCCTGACCTTGTGTGATATGAAGCTGAGCAAGCTTCTGTGTCAGTCAACAGTTCTTGTGGTGTTGCAGGTAAGTATGGTGTATGTTGTGTTGTGTCTGTGTTTAGTCCATCCCGTTCTCTTTCAGGGGAACAGTTCATCTCGAAAGTGTGTTGTTCTTTTGTGTTCAGTAGGTGACGACAATTGCGGCGGTACACCGCTCCTTCTGCGGTGCGAACGTGATATGAACGTTCAGTGTCAGCTGGTTGGATGACGACTGCTGGCTTCCAGTGGCCATGCTCCTGGATTCTAACTGACTCTCTGTCGTTCAGTGGTGGCAGTGGTCTGGCTGACCTGTCGTAGTATCGCTTTTGGTGTTGTTGTCTCTGTGCAAGTTTTGCATGCATTTCCTTGTAGCTGACGACCTCAGGTTGCAGCTGCTGGTTGGTGCTGGGAAGGATTGAGCGAAGTCTGCGGCTCATCAACAGCTGGGCTGGTGATTTGAAGTTGTCAACTGGAGTGTTGCGGTATTCAAGGAGGCTGAGGTAGGGGTCTCGCTTGTCTGCTTTTACTTTGTCCATGAGTGACTTAGCAATCTGCACAGATTTTTCAGCAAGGCCAATACTTTGAGGGTAATGTGGGCTTGTGGTGACGTGTGTGAACTCCCATGCTTTTGTGAAGGATTCAAACTCATTTGATTTGTAACATGGGCAATTGTCAGATATTAAAATCTCTACAATGCCATGCCTGGCAAAGGCTGCTTTCAGCTTGTGTATCACAGCTGCAGATGTGGTGCTGTGAAGCTTGTTTAGTTCGAAGTATCTGCTGTAGTAGTCCACTGTTATAATGTAGTCCTCGTTGTTCCAGGTGAACAGATCAGTTGCCACGACCTGCCAGGGTCGGTCTGGGATACAGTGAGGTAACATTGGCTCTTTGGTGTTTGAGGGGCGTCGTTCAAGACAGGTGGGGCATTTACCAACCATGTCCTCTATTTGTTTGCACATTCTGGGCCAAAACAAAATGTCCTGTGCTCTCTGTTTGCACTTTTCCATGCCCATGTGTCCAGCATGGATCTTTGTCAAAATCTCTTCTCTGAGACTGGTAGGAATGATCATTTTCTCTCCTTTGAAAATGATTCTGTGTCTGCTACAGGGATGTCTTTGCCTGGACGGTGAGTGATTGTGAAGTCGTATTTTTGTAGTTGAAGGATCATTCTCTGTAGCCTTGGCGGGGCTGCGGCTAACGGTTTCCTCATGATTGACTCAAGGGGCATGTGGTCTGATTCCACAATGACTTGTCGTCCATAGACATACTCATGGAAACGCTTACATCCGAACAGAATGGCATACAGCTCCTTTTCGATTTGAGCGTAGTTGATTTCACAGTCTGTGAGAGATTTGGAAGCGTAGCCGAATGGTTTTCCTTCTTGCAGTAGCACTGCACCTAGTCCATACTTCGACGCGTCCACCTGGAGTCTGAGCTCTTTGATAGGGTCGTAGTAGGCAAGGATTGGTCCTGGTTCTCTCGTGATCAAGTCTTTCACTTTCGGGAAAGCGATGTCGTGTTGCTTGTCCCAGAGGAACTTACTGGACTGCTTTAGTAGCTGACGCAGGGGTGCATTAGCATTGGCGAGGCTGGGTGCGAACTTCGCTAAGGTGTTGACCATGCCAAGCACTGTTTCCAGCTCTGCGTGGTTCTTGGGTGCTCCATTTCCTTTATGGCTGAGATCTTCTGCGGATCTGCCTTGATTCCATTCGCTGTGAGAAGATGTCCGAAGTAGCTGACCTTTGTAGCGCAGACTGTGCTCTTCTCAGGGTTGAGCCGGACTCCTCTCTCGCGGGACATTTGCAGCATCGCGCTGAGGTTTCTGTCGTGTTCCTCTTTGGTTCGACCATAGACAAGGATGTCGTCCACAATTGCCACAACTCCGTCGAGGCCTTCATAACACCTCGTCGATCTTTCGCTGAAACTTGTCTTGGGCTGAGATAATCCCAAAAGGCAGGCAACGAAACCTGTAGCGTCCAAACGGTGTGTTGAACGTTGTGAGCTTAGATGACTCTTCTGTGAGCTTGATAGCCCAGTAGCCTGATCTGGCGTCCATGACACTGAAGTAGCGTGCTCCCGCTAGCTTGTGTGTGATGCCATCTAGCGTCGGTAAGGGGTAATGGGGCCGTTTGATAACCTTGTTCAAGTCTCTTGGGCGGAGACATACTCTGAGCTTGCCTGTGCGTGGTTTCTCCACCACCGCTAATGCGTAGACCCAATCTGTCAGTTCTGTTCCAAGATGGCGTAGCAGTGCGGTTGTGTTCTTTGTTGTGTGTCCGTGTAAATAGCCAGTTTTTTGTATTTTTTTGTATTTTTCGAACATATTTCATCCTTCTACTAAATATACTTTCCTGCAACCCGCCTCACTCAATGTGGAACGGATTCTATTATTTACTCACCTTTATCTAGAATCTCCAGTTGAAACTAGCTAGCCAGCCAACTAGCTACTTGCTATTAGCCACTGTTAGCGGTTTTCACCCAGAACATCGGATTTCCTGCCGGAATAACTGAATCACTGGACCCTAACACCGGATCGCAACTAGCTAGCCGCAACCGAATGGATGTTGCTGTAGGCTAATCACCACTGCCCCCGAAGCAAGCACCAGTTAGCCTTGAGCCAGGCCCATATCCCGGCTATCTACCTCTTTGTCTACCGGACGGGAGTAGCCAGCTAACTAGCTACTTGCTATTAGCCACCATTAGCGGTTTTTCACCATTGTCCGTGGCCTGCACTACCTACCAGCCAGCTCTAGCCTGGACTATTATCGGCCAGTCTGCACTGTCTGCACAGCGCGTTATCGACCCAGAACATATCGGATTTTCTGCCAGAATCACTAAATCACTGGACCTTTAACACCTGATCATCGCAACTAGCTAGCCGAAACCAAATGAATGTTGTTGTTGGCTAATCAGCCTGGAGCTAGCCTCGAGTCAGGCATATCTCCCGGCTATCTACCTCTCTATCAACCGGACAGGACCTCCTAGAGTCGACACGGAGCCCCGCCGATCCATCACGACTGGTCTGCCGATGTAATCGTCTGTGGTTTCAACAGGCTTCCCATTGCGACGACCACGAAGATCCATCTGCTAGCCCCGGCCCGCTAGCACACGCAAACAACAGCCGTGCTTCCTGCTCGCTGTGCTTTAGCACCAATTCGAACTGCTCTCAGACTCACATATTGCTGTTCACTGGACCTTATGATCACTCAGCTGCACAGCTGATGCCTGCTGGACTGTTCCTTTACACGGTACCCTGTCCTGTTTATCTGTTTAGCCTCAGCCCAAACTTTCATCGCCATTACCAGTTGTTGTCTTAGCTCTCTCTAATAACACCTGTGATTGCTTTATGCCTCTCTCCCATGTCAATATGCCTTGCCTATTGCTGTTCCAGTTAGTTCTTATTATACAATTTCAATATAGAACCCCAAGTCATTCTCAAACTGCTTCAAATAGCTCCTTTGTTCCACCCCCCATACACGCCGAGACCGGCTCAATTGGTGCCTCCAGTGATGCTATCTCTTTCATTGTTACCCAACGCTTAGGTTTACCTCCACTGTACTCATATCCTTCCATGTACATAATGCCCTGAATCTATTCTACAACGCCCGGAAATCTGCCCCCTTTATTCTCTGTACCCAACGCACTAGAAGACCAGTTCTTAAAGCCTTTAGCCGTATCCTTATTCTAGTCCTCCTCTGTTCCTCTGGTGATGTAGAGGCTAACCCAGGCCCTGCAGTCCCCAGTATCACTCCTACTCCCCAGGAGTTATCATTTGTTGACTTCTGTAACCGTAAAAGCCTTGGTTTTCTGCACGTTAACATCAGAAGCCTCCTCCCTAAGTTTGAGTTATTCACTGGTTAGCACACTCCGCCAACCCTGATGTTTTAGCAGTGTCTGAATCCTGGCTTAGGAAGGCCATCAAAAATTCAGAAATGTCCATCCCCAACTACAACATTTTCCGTCTAGATAGAACTGCCAAAGGGGGTGGAGTTGCAATCTACTATAGAGATAGCCTGCAGAGCTCTATCATACTATGTAGGTCTGTGCCCAAAAAGTTTGAGCTCCTACTTCTAAAAATCCACCTTTCCAGAAATAAGTCCCTCACTGTTGCCGCTTGCTACAGACCCCCCTCAGCCCCCAGCTGTGCCCTGGAAAACCATATGTGAATTGATTGCCCCCCATCTATCCTCAGAGTTCGTATTGCTTGGTGACCTAAACTGGGATATGCTTAACACCCCGGCCATCCTACAATCCAAACTAGATGCCCTCAATCTCACACATATTATCAAGGAACCTACCAGGTACAACCCTAAAGCCGTAAACATGGGCACCCTCATAGATATCATCCTGACTAACTTACCCTCTAAATACACCTCCGCTGTCTTCAACCAGGATCTCAGCGATCACTGCCTTATTGCCTGCGTCCGTAACGGGTCCACGGTCAAACAACCACCCCTCATCACTGTCAAACGCTCCCTAAAACACTTCAGCGAGCAGGCCTTCCTAATTGACCTGGCCTAGGTATCCTGGATGGATATCGATCTCATTCCGTCAGTAGAGGATGCCTGGTTGTTCTTTAAAAGTGCTTTCCTTTCAATCTTAAATAAGCATGCCCCATTCAAAAAATTCAGAACTAAGAACAGATATAGCCCCTGGTTCTCCTCAGACTTGACTGCCCTTGACCAGCACAAAAACATCCTGTGGCATACTGCATTAGCATTGAATAGCCCCCGCGATATGCAACTTTTCAGGGAAGTTAGGAACCAATATACACAAGCAGTTAGGAAAGCAAAGGCTAGCTTTTTCAAACAGAAATGTGCATCCTGTAGCACTAACTCCAAAAAGATTTGGAGAATAAGAGCACCTCCTCCCAGCTGCCCACAGCACTGAGGCTAGGAAACACTATCACCACCGATAAATCTACAATAATCGAGAATTTCAACAAGCATTTTGCTATGGCTGGCCATGCTTTTCACCTGGCTACCACTACCCCGGCCACCAGCTCTGCACCCTCCGCTGCAACTTGTCTCTCACAGTTGAAGTGTACCTATGATAAAAATTACTGACCTCTACATGCTTTGTAAGTAGGAAAACCTGCAAAATCGGCAGTGTATCAAATACTTGTTCTCCCCACTGTATATCCATCCTGCCCTGCCTTTTGAACGTTTTTGAAAGCCAAGTTAACAAACAGATCACCGACCATTTCGAATCCCACCATACCTTCTCCGCTATGCAATCCGGTTTCCGAGCTGGTCATGGGTGCACCTCAGCCACGCTCAATGTCCTAAACGATATTATAACCGCGATCGATAATAGACAGTACTGTGCAGCCGTCTTCATCGACCTGGCCAAGGCTTTCGACTCTGTCAACCACCGCATTCTTATTGGCAGACTAAATAGCCTTGGTTTCTCAAATGACTGCCTCGCCTGGTTCACCAACTACTTCTCAGATAGAGTTCAATGTGTCAAATCGGAGGGCCTGTTGTCTAGACCTATGGCAGTCTCTATGGGGGTGCCACAGGGTTAAATTCTTGGACCAACTCTTTTCTCTGTGTATATCAATGATGTCGCTCTTGCTGCTGGTGACTCTCAGATCCACCTCTACGCAGACAACACCATTTTGTATACATCTGGCCCTTCATTGGACACTGTGTTAACAAACCTCCAAACGAGCTTCAATGCCATACAACACTCCTTCCGTAGCATCCAACTGCTCTTAAATGCTAGTAAAACTAAATGCATGCTCTTCAATTGAACACTGCTGGCACCCGCCCACCCGACTAGAATCACTACTCTCGACAGGTCTGACCTAGAGTATGTGGACAACTACAAATACCTAGGTGTCTGGTTAGACTGTAAACTCTCCTTCCAGACTCACATTAAGCATCTCCAATCCAAAGTTAAATCTAGAATCGGCTTCCTATTTCGCAACAAAGCCTCCTTCACTCATGCTGCCAAACATGCCCTCGTAAAACTGACTATCCTACCGATCCTTGACTTCGGCGATGTTATTTACAAAATAGCCTCCAACACTCTACTCAGCAAATTGGATGTAGTCTATCACAGTGCCATCCATTTTGTCACCAAAGCCGCATATACTACCCACCACTGTGACCTGTACACTCTTGTTGGCTGGTCCTCACTACATATTCGTCGCCAAACCCACTGGCTCCAGGTCATCTATAAATCACTGCTAGGCAAATCTCCGCCTTATCTTAGCTCATTGGTCACCATAGCAACACCACCCGTAGTATGCGCTCCAGCAGGTATATCTCACTGGTCATCCCCAAAGCCAACACCTCCTTTGGCCGCCATTCCTTCCAGTTCTCTGCTGCCAATGACTAGAACGAACTGCAAAAATCTCTGAAGCTGGAGACTCTTATCTCCCTCACTAACTTTAAGCATCAGTTGTCAGAGCACCTTACCGATCACTGCACCTGTACACAGCCCTTCTGAAATTAGCCCACTCAATTACCTCATCCCCATATTGTTATTTATTTTGCTCATTTGCACCCCAGTATCTCTATTTGCACATCATCTCTTGCACATCTATCATTCCAGTGTTAATACTAATTGTAATTATTTTGCACTATGGCCTATTTATTGCCTTACCTCCATAACTTGCTACATTTGCATACACTGTATATATATTTTATGTGGTATTTTTGACTTCATGTTTTGTTTTACCCCATATGTAACTCTGTGTTGTTGTTTTTATCGCACTGCTTTGCTTTATCTTGGCCAGGTCGCAGTTGTAAATGAGAACTTGTTCTTAACTGGCTTACCTGGTTAAATAAAGGTGAAATAAAAAAATAAAAAACCTTGGTGACGATGTCAGATTGCTCCATGCTCTCCAACTCGCGGAGAGCAAGGGGAATCTTTCTCAGTGGGTAGACCACAGGGGTTGTGTCTGGGTCAAGGTGAATGGTACATTCTCCTGGGAATAGTCATATTCCTGTAAAAACATCAGCAAACTCCTCCATGACATTCTCTATCTCTACTGGTGCTGTCACTGATAAAACTAGCTTGATGAGGTCCATGTCTAAACATGCTTTAAGACCTAGCACTGCAGGTGCTCGAGTGTCAACAATGTAAAAGTCCAACATCATGTCACTTTCCTTGTATTTGCATTTGAAAGTGCATGTGCCTTTTACTGGGAGCTGTTCACCACCATAACCAGTCAGTATGCGCTTTGGTACTTATTCAGAGGAATAATGTTTTCTTGTGCACCAGTGTCTAGTTTGAACTTTAGCTCTGTGCCTTGTGTTCCTATCTCAATGTCAACAAAGGCTTGCTCTGTCTCTGACTTTTCTGTGTCACTGAATCAATAAACAGTTCATCAGCATTTGACTCTTTGATTGACATTTCATCTTCACTCACTGTATGTACTGTTTTGCACATTTTTGCGAAGTGATTCCATTTTACACATTTAGTACACTGTTTGCCTTTAGCTGGGCAATTTCCCTGTTCGCCATGCACTTAGCATCCACAATATCCACATGTTTTGGGGCGTTTGGAGTTTGTGTTGCTCTGTTCTGAAACATGCTCTCTGGGCACCGGAGGTGTGCTTTGATGTCTGCCTGACTGCGTGCACTGATTGTTCACGTGATGCGCTCGTGCTGCCGCCCGAAATGGTTTTCATCTGAACCTGTGCTAGCTCGTGAGATCTTAGCTTTGTCCAGCGTTAGCGCAGACCCAACATTCAAAAGTTTCTCTCTCACTCGCGGTGAGTGTATTCCAAATACAATACGGTCCCTGACCCTCTCATCCTTGTTTGCATAATCACAGTCTTTCACAAGCAGACGCAGCTCAGTGACAAAACTGTTCAAACGATTCGCTAGCTCCCTGTACTTTCTCATGGAATTTGTACCTAGCGAAAATTGTATTGGTCTTTGGCACCACATATGCTTCAAAACGATCGTAGTATGTTTTCAGTACCTTTGATTCAACCTCGGTAAGTGTCCATGTGTTGTTAATGTCTCTCCCTTTTTCACCGATCCAGAGGAGCAGGTAGCTGCACTTTTCCTCTTCTCCTCTTTCCTTCAGAGGACCCGTGAACATTAGCTCCACATGCTGTTTGAACTTACGCCATGCATCGGGTAGATTTGTAGACCCCCAATCCATTCGAGGTGAAGGAACTCCAGCAAAATCCATATTTTAGTCCTTTTACTCTGACACCATGTCTTGTTTTGTATGCTTTGTACAAAATAATAAAATGCAGCATGACAGGATCTTTATAAATGTAGCTCTTTATTAGCTAGCTATAACTGGCATGTTCATGTGTTCTTCTTCTTCGATGAGGTTTAACGGCGGTTGGCATCCAATTTGTTGCATTACTGCCACCTACTAGACTAGAGTACAACTCCCTTATATTTTGCTTGAAAAATAAAATAAAGAAATACCCTACCATCTAACACTACATACCCAAATACCTCTCTGCAGCTGCCACCACAACCTCAATTTTCTTCGACTTAGGTTCCATCCCTGCAGTACAATGAATAACCATTGCTATAAATGCTAAAAATCCAATCTTACTGAAACATATCACTTGTTGGCCTATCCCTCTGTACTGGTACATACCTACTACTCTCACCACTCCTCCCCCTTGACCCATCTTACTCCACTTTCTTCACTGCCTCAGCATATTACAACTTCTTCACTACTCTTACCCTGGAAACCTCAACCTGCCTCTCTCCCACAGGACATTTATGTTCATGTGTCTCCAGCCATGATCATCTTGAAGATGACCTCACCACCAGGGTGGTCTTAACCAATCATAGCGCAGTATGATACGACGGTAGAATGCATCCAATTACAATTCAGTATGCTGGCACATATGAATATTACATACCCTATTCACTACCACTAGTTTCCTCCTCTATCCCTGTTTGCTGTGTGTGTGTCTGGTGTGAGGCAATGAAGTGTGGATTGTATTCCTGTCTCCTGCTGGTCATTATCAGTCCTCTTACCGGGACTCTGGGATAGTCACACATATTAACATATGGCTGGGAATGGTAGGTTGAGCTCACCCTCATTGCAGGTAGGTCCTGTCCATGCTGACAGACAGTAACAGGTGAATTCCCTCCCTCCATAGGTCCCTCCACACCCACCTCCGTTCAGACAGGGGTTGGGCTCACAGGCACTACCTAAAGAAGAGAGATGGATTCAGACTGATGTACTGCATCTCATATCAATGCAGTTCATAGTTGCTTAGGATTTTCTTCATTGTTCCAAACAACAGTCATTAGGTTTTGGGAATACACACATCTTAATTCCACTTTTCCAGCTAAATTCAGGGCAAAACTAACTTTAGCAGAATCAAAGCTTTGTTGACAAACCTGGTGTCTGGGGTGTAGATCTGATGTCCATTGGAGCTGTGGTCACTTCTACCTCAGTGGTCCCCCTGTCAGTGTGTTTCCCTGTAGTGTGCAGTTCCACCGTGCTCCTGGTGGTGCTGTGGCTGTAGGAAGAGGAGGCTGTAGTAGTGGTGGTGGTGAAGGCCTGGCCGCTGTGGGCCGTGGTGTTCCCTGGTGTGGCAGTGCTGGTCTCCAGGTGCAAGGTGGTTACATCGGTGGAGCTGGTCACTTCGGTGAAGCTCACCCCCGTTGAGGGCTCCTGGGTCTGGGTCTGAAGGGTAGGCGAGCACTGGGGGGTGGAAGCCGAGGTCTGGAGACCCAGAGTAGTCTCAGTGGTAATGGTGGTAGGGATGGTGGTGGGTTGAGTCTGGGCCTCGACGGAGGTGGCGGTGCTAAGCTGAACCATCCTCGTCGTAGCCAGAGGGGGGGTCAGTGTGGTGCTGGTTGCCGTAGTAACTCTGTAGATCTCCTCCTCAGTGACCTGTGACGTCATCGTCACGGTAATGGATGTGCTGGACACCAGGACCTCTGTGGTCACCACTGGCGATGGCCGCTCCGTCTTGGGGACAAAGGGAGGCTGGCTTGAGAGGAACCGGGACAGGGAGTCGTCCAGGGCGGTGGCATTTTCTCGTAGCGTCGGGGGAGCAGTAGTTAGACCCAGACCTACGATGGTAGTGTCCTCTGTGTGGAGCGATGAGACCCCTTCTGTCTCACCCTGGCCCCCCTGGGTGCTGAGGGGACCTGTGGAGGACTCTGTGGAAGTCCCAGACCCGGTGACCAGGATGGAGGGAGTATCTCTATCTCCTCCCTGAGAGGTGTTGGTGCTGGGATGGCTGGGTCCTTCTGAAAACAGGATGGGGGGCTGTGAAGAATCAGGGACCCCATCTTCTGTCTGGGACGTCCTGCCTCTGGAGGGCTGACTGGAGTCTGTTGTGTCTGTGTCCCGTCTGCTGTGGTTATCAACCACGCTGAGAGGGGGGGTGGAGTGGGGGGTTCCCTCCGAAACCAGAGAGGTGAGGTCCTGCTGTTGGGTCGTCACATTGGGGGGTCCAGTCAGCGGGTTGGTCCCTCTGGAGGAAAAACTACCAGGCCACTCTGTTTAGAAGAAGTAGAAGAAGAGGAAGAGGGAGAAGAAGAAGAAGATAACTTTATTGTCCATTTACTACATGAGAAATGGAAATTCGTATTTTGCATATCCCATTCTCCCCGGTAGACATATACATACTGTACATACATATACACAGAGAGGGAATTTCAGAGGGTTGTTTACCTTGTGAAGAGTTTGTGTTGGAGTGGGGGTGAGAGTCAGACCCAGACGTAGCGTCATGCCCATGGTCAGGTCCGGTGGAGGGTATCCTGTCGGTGACATCCCCAGCCCCGGCGCCGGTGCGGCCGGTCGGGAGGCCCCAGGTAGAGTCCTCAGGGTACATGGAGGTGCTGTTGGAGGTCACAGACAGTAAGGTCCTCTCTCCCGCTCGACTCATAGTGGAGGAGATGTAGGTGCGGTCAGTGTGGACAGGGATGGGGAGAGCCATGGTTCCTAGGTCGGTCCACTGGTCCTGCCTGAGAGTATCTGTTGACTGTCCTTGCCTGAGACCCATTGTGCCTCGGTTTGTGGACTGGTCCTCTCTGAGACCCACGGTGCCTTGGTTTGTGGACTGGTCCTCTCTGAGACCCACGGTGCCTCGGTTTGTGGACTGGTCCTCTCTGAGACCCACAATACCTTGGTTTGTGGACTGGTCCTCTCTGAGACCCACAGTACCTCGGTTTGTGGACTGGTCCTCTCTGAGATCCATGGTTCCTCGGTTTGTGGACTGGTCCTCTCTGAGACCCACGGTACCTCGGTTTGTGGACTGGTCCTCTCTGAGACCCACAGTTCCTCGGTTTGTGGACTGGTCCTCTCTGAGACCCACAGTTCCTCGGTTTGTGGACTGGTCCTCTCTGAGATCTATGGTTCCTCGGTTTGTGGACTGGTCCTCTCTGAGACCCACAGTACCTCGGTTTGTGGACTGGGCCTCTCTGAGACCCACAGTTCCTCGGTTTGTGGACTGGTCCTCTCTGAGACCCACAGTACCTCGGTTTGAGGACTGGTCCTCTCTGAGACCCACAGTTCCTCGGTTTGTGGACTGGTCCTCTCTGAGACCCACAGTACCTCGGTTTGAGGACTGGTCCTCTCTGAGACCCACAGTACCTCGGTTTGTGGACAGGTCCTCGCTGAGACCCACGGTACCTCGGTTTGTCGACTGGTCCTCTCTGAGACCCACAGTACCTCGGTTTGTCGACTGGTCCTCTCTGAGACCCATGGTGCCTCGGTTTGTCGACTGGTCCTCTCTGAGACCCACTGTGTTTCCATCTGTTGACTGGTCCTGCCTGAGACTGCTGTCAGCATCAGGGCTGTCCTGAGGCAGTCTGGCTTCAGTAACAGACACAGACTTGAACTCTACTGAGCGTTTGGTTTCAGTCAAAGCCCTGAGTTGTGCTGGGAGCCCAGAGTAGGCCTCTGGTAGGTGGTCTGGTGTTAGTCTGGTCTGGTCCTTCCACTGTGTGGTAGCCTCTGTGGACACTACAATGGTAGAGCTCCTCTGCTCCATCGACAAACCAAGGGTTCCTTCTGCTGTCCAGCTGGTTGAGTCCGTGGAGAGATGTGTGTTTTGTTCAGTGGCTTTGAATAATAAATATATAAATACAATTAAAAAAGGATGTCAGGTATGTGTTTTCTGTATTCAAGGAAAGCAATGTGAAACATAGGCCTACATAAAGAGTTGGGGAGAAAGACATCCAAAACAAAAATGTAAATGTCTGCACCACCAGATGGCCCCAGAGAGTTTGTATCTTTCTTCAAATGCAGGATTTAATGCCTGCGGCTGTACTGATTTTGGGTGGAGAACAATTGGCAGCCAGGCCTGTCTACCCTAACAAAAGCCTGGGCCCTAAATATGGAGGTGACTCTGGCCTTTGGGACTTTACCATTTCCTTCCTAAAGCTGATATATCAGAAGCCATAGATGTTATAATACTGTCACACTGCAGATGTTGGCTGGGTACATTTGAAGCAGAGTTTGCTCTCTGGCTCACAGTTTTTGGGGGCTTTTTGAAAACAGTCAGTTAAAGACATGCTCCACTACTTTGGCGACTAGTAAGTATTTTTTAAACCTCCCGCTTTGGGATGGATGTGTCAATGTGTAGTTCATACATGCATAATCTATGAGCAGAGTTACTGTATTCCCACAATTAGCCACGAAATCCCTAGTTTGAAAGTGACTGTTTTTGGAAGCTGTGCGGCGTCATCTTCCCTAGATGTACCCCTACGTGGGCAGCCCTTCGCCATTTGAGTGACAGCTAGCAAGACGCACACACAGTAGAGCGAGAGCAATGACGGGGTGCACATATGTGACTCGTTTCAGGAAACTAGACGTATGTCGCGCGTCACTAATTCACAGGAGAGCCATTTGAACGTAATCTTTTTTTTAAAAATCAAAATGCGTTTTTTGGCAGAAATGCCTTCTGGAACATGTGAACTTTCATGTGCCTTAATAACAAACTTGTATGCTATCTGTAAATACAAATACAATTGTTAAATTACGAGCCTAGTTGGTTTAGCCATGGAAAAAGACAGGAACCTTCCCGCGAGCCATGATTGGCTGAGATAATGGTTGGGCTGGACATGCCGAGAGATGAGTTCGGATTGGTCTGCCATGTAGCACGCTTCTGTCTATAACATGAGCTGGTCAGTATTTGTAGGTAATCCTTTCTAACGCTGCTTTTTTTTTAAGATATCAAAGTGTTGCTCTCCACTTTCTGGAGGACTGAGTTTTGAAATCAGTGGAAGGCCCGGTGGAATTAGAGTATGATAGCTAAGGAGATGGAGAAAATTCTAGCCTTTGATTGCAAATATGCAGAGGGAGTCGAAAAGAGAACACACAGGAGGCTGTATAAAACACCTGTCTCCGGATTACATCTTCATACTAAGGGCAACCATGGCATCCGTGACAGAGAGGGAGAAGCATCCATCCATGTATACGGGTAAGATAGTCTAGCAAGCTACATTTTCAGATATTACACGTTTCTAATTTAGTCAGAAAGTTGTTTTTATTTCAAGTTAAAGCGTACTGTTAGGTAGCTAGCTAACACTACCTGGCTAGCTAATGTTACGTGTATGATTTGTGTAGTAATATTATTCATATCTCAGAGCCATTTGCATTGCTAGTTATAGCCTAATGTTAGCTAGCTAACATTGAACCTGATTGGTTAGCTACATGCAGATTCATGCAGGGTAGTAACGTTATGAGTTGGGATTATGGTTAATTGTTTAGCTAGCTAGGTACATGTCTAAACAAAAGACTGCACTATGCAAGTAACCATTTCAATAGAATGTTCATGATGTCACTGCGACAAATGTCGATAGACGTAGCTGGTAAATTCGCTCTGGCTATCTACGCACTTTCATCTGAGTGTGCCAGAGTGCAGAATAACAGACAAATTTACGAACACTCAACACCCGTTGAATATGGCCGGTGTCAGTAAACGTCAGCAGAAAAGCGGAATTAAATCGTTGCCAGCAGCACAGTTACAGTCACCAACACTCTGGTTAACAAAAAACAGCCTAACCAGCTCTGCTAGAGCGAGTAAAATGGTCAGAGTGAGGTGTTTTCTCATGTGTCTGGAAGTAGCTAGCAAGCAAGCCAACGTTAGCCAGTTACAGTGGGGAGAACAATATTTGATACACTGCCGATTTTGCAGGTTTTCCTACTTACAAAGCATGTAGAGGTCTGTAATTTTTTTTATCATAGGTACACTTCAACTGTGAGAGACGGAATCTAGAACAAAAATCAAGAAAATCACATTGTATGATTTTTAAGTAATTAATTTGCATTTTATTGCATGACATAAGTATTTGATACATCAGAAAAGCAGAACTTAATATTTGGTACAGAAACCTTTGTTTGCAATTACAGAGATCATACGTTTCCCATACACCTCCATGCTTCACGGTTGGGATGGTGTTCTTGGGGTTGTACTCATCCTTCTTCTTCCTCCAAACATGGCGAGTGGAGTTTAGACCAAAAAGCTCTATTTTTGTCTCATCAGACCTCTGGATCATCCAGATGGTCATTGGCAAACTTCAGACGGGCCTGGACATGCGCTGGCTTGAGCAGGGGGACCTTGCGTGCGCTGCAGGATTTTAATCCATGACGGCGTAGTGTGTTACTAATGGTTTTCTTTGAGACTGTGGTCCCAGCTCTCTTCAGGTCATTGACCAGGTCCTGCCGTGTAGTTCTGGGCTGATCCCTCACCTTCCTCATGATCATTGATGCCCCCCGAGGTGAGATCTTGCATGGAGCCCCAGACTGAGGGTGATTGACCGTCATCTTGAACTTCTTCCATTTTCTAATAATTGCGCCAACAGTTGTTGCCTTCTAACCAAGCTGCTTGCCTATTGTCCTGTAGCCCATCCCAGCCTTGTGCAGGTCTACAATTGTATCCCTGATGTCCTTACACAGCTCTCTGGTCTTGGCCATTGTGGAGAGGTTGGAGTCTGTTTGATTGAGTGTGTGGACAGGTGTCTTTTATACAGGTTAACGAGTTCAAACAGGTGCAGTTAATACAGGTAATAAGTGGAGAACAGGTCTGTGAAAACTAACAGGTCTGTGAGAGCCGGAATTCTTACTGGTTGGTAGGTGATCAAAAACTTATGTCATGCAATAAAATGCAAATGAATTACTTAAAAATCATACAATGTTTAGATTCCGTCTCTCACAGTTGAAGTGTACCTATGATAAAAATGACAGACCTCTACATGCTTTGTAAGTAGGAAAACCTGCCAAATCGGCAGTGTATCAAATACTTGTTCTCCCCACTGTAGCTTGGACGCTTGACTGCTGTTGTTAGGTCAGAACGCTCGGATCAACCCTACTCCTCGGCCAGAGTGTCCAGTGTGTGCTCTGAACGCTCCGAGAGCGAAACGCTCTGAATTTACAAACTGGACAATCTGACAACGCTCTGAGTTTACGAACGCCCAGGGTGCACTCTGGCACTCCAGATTGAATTTATGAATACACCTGTAGTATAAACCAGCCTTTAGTCTTGAAATCTTTGGTTGTTTAGTACATGGCCTCACGTGAATCCTTAAAGAGATGGGTGGGGCTAAGGCTTAATAGGGTGTGAAATATGCTGAATGGGTGTAGACAAAGAAGAGCTCTCCAGTAGCTTTACCAAAACATTCAAGGGCCATTTTCTCAAAAGTGAGGTTCCAAGTTTATCAACTTTCAAAGCAGAATTACTTTCCCATTGTTCCTCAACTGTAGTGTATGATATACCAATTTCTAGCTCTGAGTCTCTACTTTTATCCAATATAAAAAAACACAATTTCAAATTTTGCTACATAAGACCGAATCAAGCCGGTCGGTCACATATATGAACATTTGTGAGGTAGTACGCAGTTTTCGGGGACCACTTTTGGCTTTTGGGCGCTGCTTTCAGAACTTCTGGCTAAAAAGTATACAAAATTACCGGAGAATATCTTTAATATCTCATTGTAGTCATTTAAATCTGAAAATTAATTGGTAAGTTCATTGCTTTATTTTTTTGCCAATTAAGTTTCTGTTTGTAAAGATACATGACTAGGCCTCCTACTACTAATACAGTGGGGAAAAAAAGTATTTAGTCAGCCACCAATTGTGCAAGTTCTCCCACTTAAAAAGATGAGAGACGCCTGTCATTTTCATCATAGGTACACGTCAACTATGACAGACAAATTGAGAAAAAAAAATCCAGAAAATCACATTGTAGGATTTTTAATGAATTTATTTGCAAATTATGGTGGAAAATAAGTATTTGGTCACCTACAAACAAGCAAGATTTCTGGCTCTCACAGACCTGTAACTTCTTCTTTAAGAGGCTCCTCTGTCCTCCACTCGTTACCTGTATTAATGGCACCTGTTTGAACTTGTTATCAGTATAAAAGACACCTGTCCACAACCTCAAACAGTCACACTCCAAACTCCACTATTGTCAAGACCAAAGAGCTGTCAAAGGACACCAGAAACAAAATTGTAGACCTGCACCAGGCTGGGAAGACTGAATCTGCAATAGGTAAGCAGCTTGGTTTGAAGAAATCAACTGTGGGAGCAATTATTAGGAAATGGAAGACATACAAGACCACTGATAATCTCCCTCGATCTGGGGCTCCACGCAAGATCTCACCCCGTGGGGTCAAAATGATCACAAGAACGGTGAGCAAAAATCCCAGAACCACACGGGGGGACCTAGTGAATGACCTGCAGAGAGCTGGGACCAAAGTAACAAAGCCTACCATCAGTAACACACTACTCCGCCAGGGACTCAAATCCTGCATTGCCAGAAGTGTCCCCCTGCTTAAGCCAGTACATGTCCAGGCCCGTCTGAAGTTTGCTAGAGTGCATTTGGATGATCCAGAAGAGGATTGGGAGAATGTCATATGGTCAGATGAAACCAAAATATAACTTTTTGGTAAAAACTCAACTCATCGTGTTTGGAGGACAAAGAATGCTGAGTTGCATCCAAAGAACACCATGCCTACTGTGAAGCATGGGGGTGGAAACTTCATGCTTTGG